GTTATATAATATTACTGATGCTCTGTTATTCTCTTTTCCTTTTCCTCTTTCCCCAAGTTCCATAGAGTATTTCCACTATTGCAAACATGTTCTACATCTGAGTTTGTATATGATCATGCTTGTTTTGTATATATGTTTATCTTTGGATCTATCTTCTATATATGAGAGAAAACTTGTAGCTTTTGTGTTTCTGATCCTGGATACCTCACTCAACGTGATGTCTTCCAATTGCATCCATTTACCTTCAAAGCACATGTCATTGTTCCTTATGGCTGAGTAATACTCCACAGTGTATATGTACCATATTTTCTTGATCCATTCATCAGTTGTAGGGACCTGGGTTATTTCTAAAACATGGCTATTATGAATAGTACTGTGATGAACATTGGAATACAGGTGTCTCTATTGTATCCTGTCTTATGTTCCTTTGGGCAGACATTGAGGAGAAGTATCACTGGATCATATGGCAGTTCTATCTTTAGCTTTTTGAGGAATCTCCATACTACTTTCCAGAGTGGTTGTACTAATTTGCATTCCCACCAACAGTGTATGAGGGTTCCTGTTCTGCCATAACCTCACCAGCATTTGTTGTTGTTATTACCCTTGTTTATGGCCATTATAACTGGGGTGAGATGAAATCTAAGCATTGATTTGTATCTCTTTTATAATCAGGGAAGTTGAACACTTCATATATTTACTAGCTGTTTACACTTCTTCCTTTGAGAATTCCCTGTTTAATTCCTGTGCCCATTTCTTCATTGAGGTGTTAATTCTTTGGAGACTGAGTTTTTTGAGTTCCCTGTAGATTGTAGGTATTAGTTCCTTATTGGATGAGTAACTGGCAAAGATTTTCTCCAATTCTGTGGGCTGTCTCGAGTCTGGTGACTGTTTCCTTTGCTGTACAGAAGCTCTTTTGTTTGATGAGGTCCCATTTGTTCATTCTTTCTCTTAGATGTGAGACTTTTGAGTCCTACTTAAGAAGTTGTTCCCTATACCTATATGTTCCAGTATATTTCCTAGTACTTCATGGTCTTGTTCAAAGTTTCAGGCCTTATATTAAGGACTTTTATCTACTTTGAGTTGATATTGGTACAGGGTGAAACACAGGGAACTAGTTTCAAACTTCTACATGTGGATATGCACTTTTCTATGCAACATCTGTTGAAGTGGGTGCCCTTTTTCCATCGTGTATTTGGGCTCCTTTGTCGAAGATCACATGGTTGTAGATGAATGGATTTATGTCTGGTTCTTCTATTCTGACGCATTGGTCTTCCTGTCTGTTTTGGTGCAGTACCATGCTGTTTTTATTGTTATAGCTCTGTAGTAGTTTGTAGTCAGGTATTGTGATGCTTCCAGCATTGGATGTTTCACTCAGAATTGCTTTGGCTACTTGAGTTCTTTTGTGTTTCCATATTTATTTCAGGATTGACTTTCCTGATTCCTGAAGAATATTATTCAAATTTTGATAGGGATTATGTTGAACATGTAGATTTCTTCTGGTAGTACAGCCATTTTCACTATGTTGATTCTACCAGTCCATGAGCGTTGGTAATCTTTCCATCTTCTGATGTCTTCTTCAATTTCTCTCTTCAGTGGTTTATACTTTTCATTAAAAAGGTCTTTGGTTTCCTTTGTTAAATTTATTCCAAGCTACTTTATTTTTTTGGAGGCTATTGTACATGGGATTGTTTGGCTGATTTCTTTCTCAGTCTGTTCCTTGTTGGTATATAGGAAGGCTACTGAATTCTGAATGTTCACATATATCCTGCTACTTTTCCCAAAGAATTTATGACTTCTAATACTTTTGGGGTAGAGTTTTTAGTGCCTGTTATGTATACAATCATGTCATCTGTAAATAGGGACAGTTTGACATCTCTGTTCCCTATTTGGATCCCTTTTACTTCTTGCTCTTGTCTTATTACAAATTATAAGCAAAAAAGGAGGTTTTGTAGAAGTGGGTTTACCTGGCATCCATTTTTAGTTCTGTCTGAACTATAGATGATATCCTGACATCTTAAAAATGCTGCAGAATATTGACAGACAACAGTTAAAACTTTTACAAGGGGAATACAAAATGCCAAAAAAAGCAAATATCTAAATGGCTGGCTTAACTGAAAAATAGGTACCTGATAGTCATTTTAGGGTTTGATTGCAAATGCTTCAGAGAAGGACCCAGACTGTGCATGACAAGACTTAGAATAGCCATGGTTAAAACACTGATATGTAGTTCAAGAATTGTCAGAAACTAAACTGCAGACAGCAGTTTAGGAAAATAATTATGACAGACAGCATTAAAACAGCTACACTAAGTGCTCCTTTTTACAATTAGGAGCACGTGGACACAACCCTGTGAATGTCTAGCATTGTTAACTACAGATCTCCTACAAGTTAGACAATGTCTAATAGACAAGTACATTTCATAAAAACAGTAACACTCATTTGGCTAAGACAAATATAGGCCAGGTTTTAAATAGCAGGATTGTCCAAATGGCAGGGTTTTTCTGAATGTTACTAATCACAAACAGCACAACTGTCAAAAGTTTCATTAACCTTTTTATATGCCAAAGGTTTTAATGTAATGCTTTTAGGTAAAAGAAAGCTTTAGGTAGATATTTAACACATATTAAACTGACACTTTTAAGTTTGCAAATGTTTGTACACTATTTAAAACCTAGTCACAGAACACAGTTAAAAGGTGATCATTTGAAAGACCTTTACATTAGCAAATACCTTAAATGAACTCATAATTTAGTTAAGGTTTAGTTTAAGTATTTAAAAGTTTGAGAAGATCAACATAAAACATGAGTAATTATTTTGATTACTTCTTTCTAGGGGATGGTGGAGGACTGTTCTAGCCTCTGCTCAGGATCTGGGAGTGAGCCAGGGAAGAGCCACCACTTCTGTGCTTCCCAGGTCACAAAACTGGAGGGCTGAGAGCTGAACTTACACGATAATGAATTTCAGTACCATAAGTTAGAAATGAAAGAGGTGCAGAATGGATAGGTGGGTAGATGGCTGAAATCCCAGCAAAGGGTTTACTGAGAAGTGTTCCTGAGGAGAGGATACCCAGGAAAAAGCTGGAGCCCACAGCTGCTTAGAACGGGAGTGTTCATGAGGAGGGTGGAGAAGCCCCAGGAAGTGCACTGGGTGGAATAATCCGAATGGGCCTCTGACCCTCCCAAGCTAATGGCTTAAGGTGGGTCACTCCTTCTAGGCCAGGTGATGAGTTTCTAGTAAATGGCTTGAGGTAGGTGTCTGTTGTTCTTTACAGCCTTCAATAAGGCACCTTCAAGTGGGAGGGGGTCCAGTTCACCCAAACAGTTGACTTTTCAGAATGGATAGCCTCTGGTATTCCTCTTGGTGAATGAGTTGGTTATTAAGAGGAAATAAAAAAAAACAAAACACAAAACTCCAAAACTTTTTTAAAAAAAAAGTGTGGAGGGTGGGAGCCATTAGAAGTGGAGTTGCCTTTCCTACCACCTCCCCCACCCACACTAGATTTGGTGAGTTCCAGGAAATAAACAGGGATACAGGTCTGACCATGTTGCTCTGAAACCCAGGTGAGCTGAGACTATTCCTTGTTTTGGTCGATCTGGGGGTTGATTTCCAGGATTTCTGTTTGATTCTTTCTTCTGAGGTTTTCCAAATCTATGATCAACTCTTCTTTTGTATTTTGTGTGGTCCTCTTTAATTCATGTATCTCTTTTTTTATAGTGTGTTTTGTTTCACTTTGGTGTTTCTTGAGGTCTTCTCTAAGTTCCCTTATTTGTTTCTCTGTCATCTTGTGTTCTTTCTTTTTGGTGTCTTGAAATTTCTTGTACATTCTGGTTGACCATGTCTGATATCTTCTTCATGAATTTCTCAGAGATTTCTTCCCAGATTTCTTCTTTGAGGGCTTTTTTGTGGGCATCACTGAGATCCTGTTACACTTATCATAGTTTTGTTAAGATTAGGGTCTGGGTATCCATTTTCTTCATTTCCCACTGAGTTCTGTATTGAATTTTTTTTTTTTTTTTTTTTTGAGGAGAGTGGTTTCCATGCCTTCTTCTTCTTCCCATCGCTCCCCTTGGTGCTGTACCACTATATTTTTGATATGCTAGTTGGTGGTTTTGATTGCCTAATTTCTGTCCCTGATTTAAGTTTTGTGTTGTGGCTGACTTGGTTGTTAGCTAGGTTGATGTGCTCTATCTGAGCCTGGTCTGGGGATGTAATTTAGCATTAACAAGTTTGTGAGTTGAATGGCAGACCAGTTAACATATTCTACAGAAAACCCCTTGATGATATCTACAGGCATTCTGAGTTGGTGTGGTGGGGTAATGTTTATTAAGCTAGTTATAGATTATGGGAAATTGGCAAAGGTGTCACTAAGGAAAAAAGAAGGGGAGGTGGTAAAAGGAGTGGACGGGTGGGCTGAGATTTATGGGGGTTGGTTTTGTGGCCCTTGCGTGTGTGTGGGTGTATTTCTGTTGTAGAGGAGGTGTTTGTGTCAGGGATTGCAGGGTCTGGGGTTGTGTGCAGTTGGTAGAGCAGGCCAGTCAGCAGGTGGTGAGCATGTAGGAGGGAGGGGAAGTGTAATGACAGGTTGGGGGAGGGGGAGGGGAAGGTGAAGACAGGAGAAAGAGTGGATGAGAAGGGGCAGAAAGAGTAGTTAGGTGTTAGAACAATGCATTGTACAGGAAAAGGAGGGAGAGTGAAGAGGATGAGAATGGGGATAAGAGATAGTGATGATGGAGTTAATAATAAAGGAATAAAAAGAAAAAGAAAAAAAGATACACAATAAAAAAAAAAACCAGGTTCAGGAACCTGGTTCAGTTTAGTCTATTAATAAAAGTTCTGGAGTTATTCCTTAGGGCTCCAATCCTGGTATTGGTGTTCAGGTGGAAGCTCTGATGTGGTCTCACCAGGTGACTGGCTTATGAGTGGTATTTGGACCTTCTGTCCACAAGATTAGTTGGAGTTGTGAGGTGAGATAAGATTGCCACCTCATGCAGGGTGGTCAGAGCTGTTTTCAGCAGGTGGCAGCTGGGGTGTTCTTCAGCTGCAGGTCTGATTGGTCAACTCCTCCCCTAGCAAGGTAGGGCAATTCAGTTTTGAGTGCTGACCTCTGTCCCAGATATCAGCTCTGGGATCTACTGCCTGCCCTGCTTGGGAGGTTAGTTCCTCTCTCTTGGCCTTTGTGATTCCCCCAATCTTTGCTGGGTGCTGGTGGCTCCTTTAGGTGGTTGGCTTGTCAGCCCATGTCTGCTCAAGCATGCCTGTTTTATGGCATGTCACTGAGAGTTCAGCGCTGAGAGCTCAGTTCCTTACCATGCCCCTGACAGTTTAGCAGTGAGAGATTGGCTCTTTGATCCTCCCTTGTTCTCCTGGGCAGGTTCAGTTTTCCACACGCCCCCCCCCCCACCAACAACAAAGTCAGTGTTAAATTACAGTTCGCTGTTTATGGCTTTCAGTTTTGCTGGTGGTGGGTTGGGGAGTGGTGACTGGTGCATGATGCTCACCTCTATTTTCTGCAGTTTCACACAGGGAGGTTTGGAGGCAGCTGTTGGGGAGAATATCATCCTGTGGGGCAGTGTAGGGAGGCTTTCCATGGGCTAGGAGTCCAGGATGCCACAGGCTTGAATCTGATTGAAGCTGTCTTCTGTATGTTGGGAGAAGAATAAAAAGAACAAAAGGAAAAAGAAAAGAGAAGTGGCTGGGGGCTTTCTTTCCAGAGCCAGAGCTGGACATGACTTGCTGGCTGTGTTGGGCATGATTTTGGAGGCTGTTAGGTGCAATTACAAGCTGATGTAAGGCTCAGTGTTTGAATTTTAGCTGCACCTACTGTGGTGGTGGTTATTATTTTGGCTAGGACCAATTATAATTACCCAAGTATGGCTCCAGCATCTCAAGGTTTCTGAAGTCATGGAGCTTAGGTGATCTGCTTCCCTACCTTAGCTACCTTTTTTTTTCCCGGTCCGTATCTGAGGGTTGAATTCAGGGCCTCACACTTTCTTAAAAAATTCTTTGAGTTGGGCCATGCCCCCACACTTTTTGCTTCAGGTCAGCCAGAACCATGATCCTCCTATTTGCACTTCTCTTGCTTCTCTTGTAGCTTGGATGATTGGTGCATACCACCACACCCAGCTTTTATTGGTTAGGATGACTTCTTGGGAACTTTTTGCCCAAGCTGACCTTTAACTGTTATCCTCCAGATCTCCACACTCTGAGTATCCAGTATTACAAGTTTGAGCCACTGAGCCCAGCTGAGAGGGCCCCTCAAATACAGTCACTCTTCAAGGCTGTTGCTGTGGCTCAAGTGATTAAGCACTTGCTTAGGAAGTGTAAGACCCTGAGGTCAAACTCCAGTATTGCCAAAAAAAACCCCACCACCACACACAATAACAACAGCCACAAAAAACCCAGTTGCTCCCTTCCCCAGCCTGTGAGCACTGGTGAGACTGTGACAGCTGCATTGGATCAAGTTGGACAGACCATCTCTACATCATGACCACCAAGCCCCTCCTCAGTCTGGTGGTCCAACAGTAGGGGGCCTGGGCTACAGCTACAGTCTTCTGCAAAGGGGTCTCTGCAGATATTGGTTTTGGAGCCCCACAAATAAATTGAGTTTAAGACACTACTTTCCTGTTTTTTGTTGGTGGTAGTAGGGTTTGAACTCAGGACTTTGCACTTGCTAGGCAGGCATACTACCATTTGAGCCATGGTAGTTCTCAACCCTGCTGCAAACTGGAACCAGCTAAGGGAAATTCTTATAACATGAGTGCCTGACTCCTCACCAAATAGGTGGGGTTCTTGGGCACTGAAAGGATCTAGAATCTTGCTCTGAGAGCACAAAGAAACTTCTGGCTTCTGGTTTTCATTTGGAGATCATGGGGGTTGGATGTACTGTTCTTCACAGGGCTTGGTAGGGGTGTAATGGGCCATTCATGTCCAGTCACTCACTGCTGGGTGTGGCTGCTCCATACCCAGGCAGTTCCTGGAGCCAGTTGGAAGTCTGTACCAAGCCACAGAGACCTACACTGTTCCCTAACCTAACATGGCTCTGAACCCTCATCCCACAAAGGGATTGGAATCCCAGATATGGGAAGAGCCCTTGCTCTGGAACAAGAAGACCTGCTCCCTGTTGCTAGTTCTATAACTATACAGTCTGGAGCCCTCCATGTACTATCTGCAAAGTCTAGGAATACTACCTACTTAGAAGGATGGATGGAGAAGCAAAGTGCACCAAAACACCAAGAAGCTGAAGCTATAGGGGAAAAAAATGCCCACATTAAAAAATTCCCATTGGTGCTAGGCACCTGTGGCTCATACCTGTATTCCTAGGTACTCAGGAAGCAGAGATCAGGAGGACCACCTTTTGCAGCCAGCCCTGGCAAATAGTTCATGAGACCCTACCTCAAAAAAAGAAACCCATCCCAGAAAAGGGTTTGTGGAGTAGCTCAAGGTGTATGCCCTGAATTGAAACCACAGTACCACAAAAAATAAAAAAGATCAGTGGCTTAAATCAATGTAACATTCCTACTAATATATAAAAACTATCACTTTGTATAAAAACTGTAACTTGGAGTTATTTAACTCATGCAAATACATCCATCTGACCCCCTTACCAAATCAAGTATTCAGCTGAAACCCTTTTTGTAACAAAGAATGGTGTAAACAAAAGGAAGGTAAAGGGTATTTGGACCATGGGAATATTGCTGCTACTGAAATGGAAGAAGTGATGGTTTGGAAAGTTCTAGGTCAGTTTGGGGATCCTTGGAGGTTCCTTGGGCCTAAGTGGGAAGTGGCTTGAGGCAAAAAAAAAAAAAAAAAAAAAAACCCACAACTTTATGTACTGTCCTTTTTTTTTGTGGGACTGGTGTTTGAACATTGTGCTTGCAAAGCAGCTATTCTACTGCTAGAGCCACACCTCCAGGCCATTTTCTATTTTCCTCTGGTTATTTTGGAGATAGGGTCCTGCGAACTATTTGCCTGGGCTTGCCTAGAACCAAGATTCAATCTCAGCTTCCCAAAAGCTGGGATTACAGGCATTAGCCCTGGACCCTGGCTTCTGTGCTGGTTTTTATTGAATTTTAAGAGGCCTGGAGTCTCAAGACCCTTTGCAGGACCCAGCCCACAGGGAGTGATTGACATGAAGGTTGAGAAAGAATCAGGACATATCTCAAGAATCACTTAACACATGGCTATGAGAAATCCACAGGGGAGAAAATTTCAAAGTATAATGAGATCAAGAGGACATCTCAGTGGGCAAAAGGCAACTCTCAGTGCAAGTAGCCCACCTTCACCTGATTAGACCACAGTAGCTTTTCTCTATTTGGGAACAGGGCAGGGGACATAATGCACTTCAGGGCAGTTAATTTTCGGGAGGATGTACCACCCCACCCACCCCCCAGGATGAGTGTCTTGGCAAGCAAATACCCCAACCTGCAGGTAGCTGTGCATTTGTTCTGTTTCCCAAGCAGCCATGCAGAGGCTCCTGTTTTCCCAGGGCAGGCGGCAGTCTTCAACCTGTCTGGAGGCAGTTTTTTTCATATTTTTTTAAATAAAAAGCTTGTGGCTGACAGGGTAAGGTGTGCCTCCCACTTGTTCTCTAAAACAGCTGGTTGGGGGTGGGGTGGAAGAGAGAAAGAAGGGGGTGTGGCAGAGAAACTCTGCCTGAATACCTACTGCAGTTCTAATTGACCAGGCCATGTGGGGGTTAGAGACCTTGTTGTATGATCTCCCACAGAGCGACTGTTATAAACAAAGGAAAGGGCAGGGGAGGGAGTTAAAGTTTAGGGAAGAGGCATCTCACTTTAAGTTTTCACTGTGGTGTCCACCCCGGGGCCAGGCCTTGGTGTGGTCCAGCTTGCTACTCCACACCTGTCCTTCACTTGGCCTCCTGTAACTCAGATGCTGCCAGGAGCACTGAGCTCCAGCCCATTCCCCTATTTCTAATCTGTGATGATGACAATATAAAGGGAAGGAATGGAGCTGTGTAAGGACAGAGTATTTTCATACCACTGAAACTAAATGGACATTATTCCAATTAGATTTCTATGAGTTTAAGATATTCATTGTAATCACAAACACAGCCATTAAAAAAAACAAAACAAAAACAAAAAAACTAAAAGGAATACAGAAAGGAAAGAAAAAGGGAATCAAAAAGGTCCAGAACAAAAACTCAACTGAAAGGGCTGTGATGTAGCTCAGTGATAGAGTCCTTGCCTAACTTGCATGAGATCCTAAGGTAACATCCCCAGCCCTGAAAATGGTGCTGCAGGAATGGAAAAAACCAAGCATGTAAGACAAACAGAACCCGGTCACTAGTGGCTCCTATTTGTCATCCTAGCAATTGGGAGGCTGAGATGGAGAGGATCCCAGTTTGGGGACAGACAAAGCACATACTTCAAATATTCCAAATACTCCAAAATAACCAGAGCCAAATGGAGGTGTGGGGAGGCTCAAGTAATAAAACACGTTTTGTAAACACAGAGCCCTGAGTTCAAACCCCAGTCTCAGAATTTAAAAAAAAAAAAAAAAGACATATAGTGACTAGCTAAATGGCAGTAGTTAGGCATTCTGTCTCAGGAATTTCTATAAATACAAATGGGTTAAACCATGAGCTATATGAGCTGCATTCAGAGAGACTCACTTTGACTACCAAGATATACAAAGACAGAAAGACAAAAAATGTTGTTCCTTTAACTCAGTATATTTCAATAATGAGAATATTATGAGCAAGGTAGACTTTACATCAAAAGGACTGTATATATTGATAATATATACAATTTGCAATTCACCAAGATAGATAAGCTTTATCATAATATCCCCAAATACATGAATACTCCCAAAATATAGGATGCAAAAGCTAGATGCAAAAAAGACTTTAACACATCATACCCAAGATCCATGGGGAAACACAGAACTTGACTGACACTATAAACCCATCAGGCAGATCATGTGTCTCTTCAATTCAACAGTATAGGCCTATTTTCCCTAAAGTGAATATTTCTTCCACCTGAAAAAACTGACAGGGAGTATTCCTTTGACATGCCAACTCAGTTCTCAAAAGGGAACATTGTGTAGTACACTGAAGCTTCTAACTTAGATGGTATTCTTGTAGCAGTTACATGTGTCTCTTAAATTCAGCAGATCATGTGTTAGGCAACAACTCTTAATATATATAAAAAGACTGAAATCATATAGAATATTTTTTTAATTATAGTGGAGTAAAACCAGAAATCAACAGCAGAAGGAAAACTTGAAATTTATATATGATAACAACATGTGCAAATAAATAACAGACTCTTAAACAACCAGAGGGTTGAAAAAGGTCACAAAGGAAAGAAGATACCTAAGGACAATGAAAACAAAAACACAGTGAATCAAAATTTACTCCCATAGTAAAATCAACTGCCTCACTACTCAGGCAAATTTATATACCTCTCCACATCTGTGTGAGAAAAGCAGATCTCCTCTCACCAAAAATGAAATCTAAACCCAAAGCCTGCATAAGGAAGGAAACTAAAGATTATGGCAGAGATAAATCAAGTAGAAGAGAAAAGCAAAACAAAAATCAGTAACACCAAATATTGGTTCTTTGACAAAAACTAACAAATTTGATATTTAGCTAGATTAGCAAAGAAGAAAAGTAGAGGAGTGAAATAATAAAATTTGAACTGAAGTGGGAAAATGACTACCAACATTGCAGAAATAAAAAGGATTGTGAGTACTATACAGCACTGTATACCAGCACCACACATTTGAGTACTATTCAGCCATAAACAGGAATGGACACTAATTGGTGAGAACTTGGACAAACCTTGTGGATTATGATTCTACTGATAAAAACAGAATTCATAGATACATAGTAGCCATAACTAGGAGCTGATGGACAAGGAAATGGGAAGTTAGCATTTCATGCATAGTTTCTATTTGAGTGATGAAAGAATCAGTGGTGCTTCTATTTGGGGTGGTAAAAAACATCTCCCTGGCTGCCAAATATTCTGGAAATTCTAATGCTTAAACCTGTAAATATATCCCTGAGCTGTTCATTTTATTTCTAAAACACTCTGCCAGAGGCTGGGCACCAGTGACTCTTAGCTACTCACCTGGCTTATTAGTTGAAATGGGGTCTTGCTAACTCTCTGCACAGGATATCTTTGAACAATCCTCCACCGTCCACCTCCCAAATAGCTGGGATTATAGGCATAAGGCACTGCTCCCAGGCCCCCAGATTTCTTTCATTCTCCCAAAACCTGACATGGACATGAAAGAGGACAACACAGATTTACCTTCTGTATGACTTTTCTGATAAACATGAACTGGTGAGTCTCTCAGGAACACCTCCCAAATTCATAAAGTGAGTAAGCAACACTGGCTGTGGGTGCTGAAATGAACAGCCACACACAAAATGGCTGAACAGAGTAGGTTTCATTTCTCACATGTAACAAATGGAAGGTGCTGGGCCAGTGGTGGAAAGTCCTCTGTTGTCTTCATTTCTGTCTGAAATCACAGTGACTGAAGACGTAGAGCTCCCACTCCAAGTCTGGCAAGATTGCAAGGTCACTGTTAAATTTAGGCCTGGAAGGAATGTTCATCACTGTTAGCTTTATCTCCACAGAGAGCTGTGAACTGTTGGGCACAGGAAGAGGAGGCAGAAAAGATCTTGCTGTATCACAGAGAAAAAAAAAAAGCTTTGGAGGACACATAGCTAGTCTCTGCCATTCAAGATTTTGCCACTGTGTGAATTCTCTGATGTTTCCTGAGGTTTGATTTCCGAGAAAGCTCTTCCACCTTCAAGACTCTTTTCTTGTGAGTGGTCTGATGCGTGCTGAGGTGTGACTTCTGGCCAAAGGTTTTCCCACACTGATTACACTGGTAGGGCTTCTCCCCAGTGTGAACTCTCTCATGTATAGTGAGGCTTGATTTTTGGCCAAAGCTTTTCCCACACTGACTACATTGATAGGGCTTCTCCCCAGTGTGAATTATCTCATGTCCAGTGAGGATTGACTTCAGGTGAAAGGATTTTCCACACTGACTACACTGATAGGGCTTCTCCTCAGTGTGAATTCTCTCATGCACAGTGAGGCTTGATTTCTGGCAAAAGGTTTTTCCACACTGATTACATTGATAGGGCCTTTCCCCAGTGTGAACTATCTCATGTCTAGTGAGGTGTGACTTCCGGTGAAAGGACTTTCCACATTGACTACACTGATAGGGCTTCACCCCAGTGTGAATCCTCTTATGTCTAGTGAGTTTTAGCTTTGAAACAAAGGTTTTATGACAGTGACTACACTCATAGGGCTTCTCCCCAATGTGAATTCTCTCATGCATGGTGAGGCCTGACTTCCCCAAAAAGGTTTTACCACACTGACTGCACTTGTAGGGGTACTCCCCAGTGTGACTCATCTCATGACTGGTGAGTCTTGACTTCTGGCCAAAGGTTTTTCCACACTGATTACACTGATAGGGCTTCTCCCCAGTGTGAATTATCTCATGTTTAGTGAGGTTTGATTTCCGGCCAAAGGTTTTTCCACACTCATTACATTGATAGGGCCTTTCCCCAGTGTGAATTATCTCATGTCTCTCGAGGATATACTTCAAGTGAAAGGATTTTCCACACTGACTACACTGATAGGGCTTCTCCCCAGTGTGACTCATCTCATGCCTAGTGAGTTGTGACTTATAGCCAAAGGTTTTATGACACTGACTACACTTATAGCGCTTCTCCCCAGTGTGAATGAGCTCATGCATCTTGAGGTTTGACTTCCAGGCAAAGTTTTTACCACACTGACTGCACTTATATGGCTTCTCCCCAGTGTGAAGTATCTCATGTTTGGTGAGATATGACTTCTTGTGAAAGGTTTTTCCACACTGATTACATTGATAGGGCTTCTTCACAGTGTGAATTATCTTATGCTGGGTGAGGTGTGACTTCTTTACAAAGTATTTTCCACACTGATTACACTGATAGGGTTTCTCACCAGCATACATCCCGTCAGGCTTACTAGGGCGATGTGTGTTCTGACATACATTCAACTCCTTTGGCTTCACTCCTAAAGAGCCTGCATTCTTTACAATCAAATTTGAAATATGACTGGAACTCAAATGAATGGCATGTCCTAATATAACTCTCTCCTCAGGTGTTGTGTTGTTCACAGTGATTCCAGCTTGCCACAAATGTCTATCTTGACTTTCCTCACTGACCTCAATTATGACATCCACCTTCTGGACATCTGAAGTGAGAAAAAAGAAAATAACCATAGACATGAAACACAACTAAGCATTTCTATGAAATGTGCATGTATATACAGTGGAGGTTCTTCCCCTCCTTCTGGCGTAAGATTTCATAAAAACCACAACAGGTATTGGCTTGTAAGTAAATAGTTGTCTTCCTACTGACTTCAAGTGTTAAATGACAGTGATAGATTTTATATATTGTTGAACTGTTTTTCCTTGCTTCTTTCATTTTATTTGCATATGGTAGTATTGGTTAAAATATTCACCTACAGCCTAGGCATCATTTTCCATGGAATGTATCTGCCCTCCCATTTCTTTCCCCCATTGTTTTTCTCTGTTGTTTTGACAATGCTGGGTTCTCCTGCTGCTGTTCTTCCCATTATTCTACTTTGAAGGGTGCAAGAATTTTAGGACCAGCAACTTGCATAATACAAGTGAAGCCAGCTGACTGCCACCAGAGCAGGAACATGACATCGGTACAGCGTTTGCATCTATATTTGTTCAGCTTTCCTTCTTACCTGAGGAATAATTATGTGTATCTAGGGAGTTTTTCAAGTGTAAAATGTGTTCTTTCCCATTCTAGATGAAAAGAGCTTCCTACAAAGTTCTAATTTAACCTCACTAACTCTGTTTCTCAGAAATACAAGTTTCTTCTTCCTCCCACCACCCTGGACACCCACCTATGAAGCCCATCATCTTTATACAGTGCTTTTCAGGCTCCTTTTTAAGATCAAAAACCCCAATATGTCCCATCAGTTCCTGCTACATGCATCCATACTTGACAATCAGCTTCTCCTGAATTGTGTTATCTTGTGCACTGGACTGTCAGCTTTCTCCTACTTTCATAGAAAAATGGAGTTTTCTGGACATTTCTCCTCCTCTTTCTTGTTTATAATGATATCCACTAAGAGAAGATGGAAATACCGATGTCAAACTCCACTTCCCAAACAGAGGTGTGAGCTCCTCAACATGAAACTCTCTGTTCATGTGAGCTTGGGACCAAGAATGTCCTGGCTTTTTCACAAATGCAGACCCATATGCTGGATCCTCCATTTTCATGGTGTCTGACATCTTGGTTCACAAGGGTAAGTCTGGAGTTTTCTCATGTTCTTATCCACTCCCTACGTGAACTGCTCTGTAAGTTTAAATAACAGCTTCAAGCTACCAATTTCTGAATTTGTGGTTCCAAGAGTGATATAGACTCTCAAATGTAGATCTTCAATATTCACCTATTATGTGTGAAATTTTGAAAACAGGAACTAAAACTCAAGCTATGTCAAGATGACCACTTCATAATACACTACAAATGTAGACCAGTGGTACAGCAGTTGACCAGCGCTCTCGAGGCCCTGGGTGCAATTCCCAGCACAGCAAATTCAAACAAACAAACTCCACCTAAGACTGTCTTCTGTGACCATCCTTTTTAAATGATGACATGTCAAGTTTTCTTTTCTCACACTGATGAAATATTGCTCATGGTTCTTATTAGACTACTAAAACTACATTACTCTCTTGTTTTTTTCTCAGTACACTATAAATTGGATGAACGAGACATTATTTTGATAATTTCTTGCATCACTACAACTATAAAACTGCCAGTGCTTAAACCCAGCTTCAGTACGATGTGATAAAGCATAAATAATTTATGAATAAATATAAGACTATACTAGTCCATGAGACACAAGGCATGGGGGCAGACACCTGTAATCCAAACCCTAAGGAGGCAGAAGCAGAAAGATCCATACTACAAAGACAGCCAAGGTCCACATCAGGAGTCTGTCTCAAAAAAAATTTTTAAGCCAGATGCCAGAGGCTCATACCTCTAATCCTAGATCCTCGGGAGGCTGACATCAGTAATCCTGATTAAAATCCATCCCCAGGCAAATAGATCACAGGACCCCACCTCAAAAATAACCATAGCCAAATGGACTGGAGTTATGGCTCAAGTGATAGAGCACCAGGTCTGCAAGGGCCTGCCTGCTTTGGAAGCTCTAAACCCTGAATTCAATCCCAATCCCACAAAAGTTAATTTATTAATGAATATCATTTGAAAAAAATCCATGAGAATGGAGGGTGAGTCAATTCAGAAGACTGAGAAAATAAATACCAAAGAAAAATATCTAAGAATAGGGTTTAGATTTGGAATAACGGTAAAAAATATATGTTAGAAAGCCCTCCTTGGATAATGTAATGCACAGGTTTGATGTGTGCAAGCACGCCATCCTCAGGTCTGCAATCTGGAAGATAACCAGGTTAAGTCAGTGCAATATGGCCAACATCTGCTGGGCTCCCCTCTAATGCCCTCCTCACTCAGGATGCACTGACTCACTTGGAGGGCTCTGGCTTGGTGGTTTTTTTCTCATCCATGGCTCTGCTCCTTGCTCCAGCTTGATGATCAGCTCAGGTTTGGTGATGCATTGCCCTATTCATGCAAAACAAGGTAGGATTTTGTGAAGTGATCAAGTCAGGTGTTTTCCTCCCACTATGCCTTTCTGCGACGATGGACATGTTCTGTACCTGTGTTACCACCAAAGGAACTGATAGCCACGGCAACCACTTTCAAACACTTGACATAGGACGAGTCTCACTGAGGAGCTACATTTAAATTTTGCATTAATTTCTTTCTCTTTTTTCTTTTATCCATGTATTAGCATATTACAGTTTTACTGGGGTACATTGTGACATTTACAAAGTAGTTATAATAAACTCTTCCTCCCCCTATTCTTAGAACAGTTTCAATAGGTCTCATTGTCCCATTTTCTTTCATGAATACATAACAGTTCCACCATATTCACATCCCTTCATCCTTTCCTCATGCCATACCAAACCCTGGACTTCTTTTAGCTTTCTTTCCATCATTCTTGAGAAACAAATTTTGTTTGCTTATGAAGGTTATATAGGGAGTTTCACTGGGACATTTCCTTATATACATATGTGTATTATACCCTAAATTGGTTTAAATCAGGGTATAAATCCTCCATTTTAAATCAGGTTCTTTGAAGCAAGAAAAACCCTAACTTTGGAACTGTGCAATATAGGGGGACATGTGAATTTTTCATGAGAGAGTGGTGAATAATTGAATTCTTCATGGGCTAGAACTGGGCACCTAAATAGTTTTCATGTATTTACTAAGAAGACAGTGCTTACTCCTGAGGGATACAGGGCAGTTTCACTCACCCAAGGACACCAGGATGCTGTAGGTCTCCAGCATCACCTCCCTGTACAGGGTTCTCTGTGTATTGTCCAGGTCCCGCCATTCCTTCCAGGTAAAGTCCACAGCCACATCCTCAAATGACACTGACCCCTGGAATGCCATATTTCTTCTCTGCTCACCAGCCATTGGAATATGGAAGTTCTGCTTCTGTATGTGGGGGTGGAAATGAGAGGATTCTTATATGTATTTTACCAAAAAAAGCCACTTATTTTGCACTCTGTATGGTAAAGTCACAGGAATGTACCACCATTGTAATAATTTATTAAGTACTAAATAGTATTAAAAATATTATAACAAAGTTTACCTCACAAACCTAAAAACATACTTATACCAAGGGAATAAAGTATGAGTAAAAACAGGCCTGGTGGTACAAGGCTACAATTGCAGCACTGAAGAGGATGAGATAGGAGTACTCAGTTCCACTGTATTTAAAAGATAAAATTTTCCTCCTTCAAGGAGCTTATAATCTTGCATGAAAAATCCATTAAATATGAACAAATACACATAATCTGTTAGAGGAACTGATTTACAGCTTCAATGTAAATGAAGCAAGGAAGGAGAACATACATATCTGTTTTGCATGATGAGTCTGCAGTTCACTGAGAAGCCAAAGACTATTTTTGAGTGACTAATAAACTAAAAATATGCACACAGGCATCACAATATGTGCTTCCCAGCTCCAAAAGACTGCTGTATTCACTCCAGGCATCTCTGCCATTTCCCAATCTACAAGTGTAAAATGAGAAGTCAGGTGAGAACAGATCTACATCCCAACAGTCATCCCCGGGAGAAGAATTGTAATGGCTTAAGGGAGAATTAAAGGGTTAGAAACCAGAGTGAGACATCAGATCACAGAGAATTAAAACTGCAGAACATGGAGGAAACCTTTAAGGAGAAAAAAGGAAAGAAGGGCAGGAACAGAATTGGGTAAGAATTTGTTGATTGAAAATAAAAAGATATTTTACTTCCAGATGATCTGCATGATTGCTGATACTTAAATACTGGTGCCATAATGTGAAATGTGGAAAATGGAAGAATACTACAGTAAGCCTGGTACTGCTGACTAATGCAGACAGAGTACTAATTACTCTGGGGTTTGAAGCCACCACAGGCAAAGAGTTCATGGGACACTGTCTCCAAAATATCCAACAGACACACACACAAGAAAAGGAGAACAACCAAAAAAAAAGAAAGAAAGAAAAGAAAAGAATGTAAAAAAAAGGGCTGGTTGCGTACCAAAATGGTAGAGCACCTGCCCAGGAAGCAGTACACCCTGAGCTCAAACCCCAGAACCATCAAAAAAAAAAAAAAGAATTCCACAAAATGACACAGACTTGAACATATCACATTTGGAATGTCTGACACCACATTTATGGGATGGCCAACTACCAATTACATACATGATTCCAGAGTTCAGGAGAGAGATGTAAGCTGAAGATAACATAATTTGCTAAGTAACAGAATTTTTGTGCTGCCACAGAGAAGGAAAGTAACAAGAAAAGAATATAAGGAAACTAGTATTTCCTGATGGAGGACAAGAAATAGACTACAAAACCAAGAAAGAACTTTCTGAGATTTAAAGAAAATATCAATGTTAGGAACTCTGAGGCTTCATGGTGGTGCATGCTTGTAATCCCAAGACTCAGGGGGCTGAGGCGGGAGGATCATGACTTCCAGGCCAGCCTGGCCTACATAGTGACACCCTGTCTCAGAAACAAAAAAGGAAAAAGGAGCTCCACTAACATAATTAAGTATATTCATAATCTATGGAGATAAATTCCTTCAATGGTTCACACAGACATTGAGGAAGTTCCTTTTAAACTTTGACCCTGGACAAGGCATGGTGGTATACATCTGTAATCCAAGCACTGAGGAGGTAAAGGCTGGAGGATCAAGAGTTTGAGACCAGTCTGAGCCACCCAGAGCATGTAGGCCAGTCTGAGGTAAGAAGGGATCTGGCCTAAAAAAATATAAATAAGTGAAAATACTAGTACCATCCTGGTATCTGTTCAGCTTTAGTTAGGATATGGAATGCCATACAGGGTCATGTGTGAAAGGCTAGGACCCAGTCCATGGTGGGACAGGCAGGTGGTGGAATCTTTAAAAAGTCATGGAAGGTGTGCCCTCAAGTGGATATTGAGACTTAGCCAATTCTTGTCTCTCTTTCCCTTCCTGGTTATGAGGTAAGCTGATTCCTCTGCCATGATGTACTTTTGGTCCTTGCACAGGCCCAAAGGCAATGGGGCCAAGTGATGACACACTGAAAACTCCAAACCCAACAGACAATATAAATCCTTCCTCTTTTTATGTTGATTATCTCAGGTATTTTGTCATAATGATAGAAAGCTGATAAACACAGGAAACTGTCACTCCATCCAAAAATCAAATACAGCACTGAAGAAACTGAAAATACAACTCTTCCTGGATCCAAAAGGGAGTAGAGGAGACAGAGCACACTGCAGCCAGTCTGTGTCATTCTATTGTAGTAGCCTTAATAGCATAAAACAGTTGCTCTCCCCTATACCTTACCATACTACTAAATGTATTATTTGCAATATTCCTTTTATTTGCTGTGTCATGTTTGGCTATGAAGGAAATATTTCAAGGCATATTAAAAAAGAAAAAAACACAATGTGAAGTGGCAGAGGATGCATCAGAACCAGACATGGCATTATCACAAAGCAAACTTTTTTTAAAACTCAGATTAAGGCACTAAGGAAGCTAATGGATAGACTATAGACAGCATGCAAGGACAGGTGGGCAAAACAAACTCCAACTGTGTATTGGCTACAAGAAGTTCATTCAAATACAACACATATGCTGGCTCACACCTGTAATCCTAGCTACTCAAGAGGCAGAGATCAGGAGGATCAAGTTTCAAGGGCAACCTGGCCAAATAGTTCTGGAGGCACTGTTTTGAAAATATTCAACACAAAAGATGGCTGGCAGAGTGGCTTGAGTGATAGAGCACCTGCCTAGCAAGCATGAGGCCCTGAGTTCAAACCACAGTGCCACCAAAAATAAATAATTAAATATAAACACATGTGAATAAAAAATAAATGAATGGAGATAGGGTGAATGTGAACAGGGTACACTACATGCACATATTTGTATGGAAATGTCACAAAGAAACACCTTTGTGAAATTAATCTACACTAACTAAGTGTTAATTTAAAAACATAAATAGAGAAAATATATCATGCTAACGCTAATCAAAAGAAATCAGGGGCTAGGGACATAGCTGAGTTGTAGAGCATGTGCCTTCAAAGTGACCAAGAAAGAAGCATTAGGTAATAATGCAGTGATCAGTTCTGCAACATTTAATAATTGTGAACATGCATCTAACAACAGATTCTGAAACTAAGGGAGAACAAAATTATTAGAAGTGCAAGAGAAAGATGAACCCACAAGCACAACTGGAGACTTCAACAATCCACTCTCAAAAAATGGACAGACCCACCAGGTACATAATCAGTAATAACACAGTTCAATTCAACAACAGTTGAGTTTCAGTGCATGTGATTGTACCAATAGATCACTGCTTCCAGCAACAGATTACACATTCTTCCCAAGTGCACATGGACAACCACCAACATAGGCCATCTTCTCAGTCATAATAAGCACATTTTTGTTATGATTTGAAAGAGTAGAAAAGACACAATATCTGCTTTCAGACATTTGTATAAATAACAAAAAGATAACTGAAAAGCTCCCAATAGATGGAGATTAAACAACATACTTACAGATAGTAAATAAAGAACTCTCAAGAGAATTTTTAAATTTGAACTATTTGAAAATGAAAGCACATTTTATGAAAATCTGTAGGATGCAGCAAAAACAGTGCTTAGAAAACAATTGGTGGCAGCAATGTGTGTAACAGACAAAAACAAGCATTTAGAACCTATAACCCATGTTCCTACCTTAGAAAAGTATGAGGGAAAAGTAAAAATTAACACCAGCAAAACGAGAAAAACAATAAGAAGAACTACAACTAGAATCAGTGATATTTAAACAGAAACTCAACAAAGAAAGCAGTGGAAAACAAGGGTTCCTTAAAAACATCAATAAAAATAAATAAATAAATAAATAAAGGCCGGGCATCAGTGGCTCACTCCCATAATCCTAGCTACTCAGGAGGCAGAGATCAGGAGGACTGCGGTTCAAAGCCAGTCTGGGCAAATGGTTCCCAAGACCCTATATCGAAAAACCCTTCACAAAAATAGGGCTGCTGCATGATAAAAGCGAGCGCACACAAGGGAGGGGTGAGGATACGTAAGACACCTAAAAAACTAGCTAGCATTTGTTGCCCTTAACGCAGAGAAACTAAAGCAGATACCTTAAAGCAACTGAGGCCAATAGGAAAAGGGGAACAGGTACTAGAGAAAAGGTTAGATCAAAAAGAATTAACCTAGAAGGTAACACCCACGCACAGAAAATCAATGTGAGTCAATGCCCTGTATAGCTATCCTTATCTCAACCAGCAAAAACCCTTGTTCCTTCCTATTATTGCTTATACTCTCTCTACAACAAAATTAGAAATAAGGGCAAAATAGTTTCTGCTGGGTATTGAGGGGGGGAGAGGGAGGGGGGGAGTGGGTGGTAAGGGAGGGGGTGGGGGCAGGGGGGAGAAATGAACCAAGCCTCGTATGCACATATGAATAATAAAAGAAAAATGAAAAAAAAATAGGGCTGCTGAAGTGACTCAAGGTGAAGACCCTGAGTTTTAGACCCCATACCACAGAAGGAAGAAAGAAAGAAGGGAAAGAGGGAGGGAGGGAGGGAAGAAAAAGAAGGAGGGAAGGGAGGGAGTAAGAAAAGGAGGAGGGAGTTAGGAAAGAAAAGGATGGAAAGAAGGGAGGAAGGGAGAGAGGAAGGAAGGGAGGGAGGAAGGGAGATGAAGAACATGAAACAATTTGGGTTATAATAAATATATACATGTAAATGTCACTAGGACTTCCTGGGTACATATCTAAAACAAAAATGACTTTTTCATTTACAAAATCAGAGAACTGGAGGGGAGAACAGGTCCTGCCTGGGGATGTTGGTACCAGTGGGAGGGGGAGGAGATGTGGAAAGGACATGGGAGGGTAAATATGGTGCAAATGTACATATGTATGTAAATGGAAAAATGAGACCTGTTGAAACTG